TATGGTTTTCGTGAAGCAGCAAATTGTTTTATTCTGAAGGTCCTGCCCGGAAGTTCTGTATAGCCTGCCTCTGACTTGTCACTCGTGTTAGCGGTGTTGGGATTCAGTGTGGCAGCAGCAGGGGAAATCAGGGAAATCAGGGAAATCTGGGATATCTGGGAAAGGGGAGTCGGTGAAAACCGGGACTAAACCGGCAGAAATCCCCACGGAGCCGTGACCGTCTCACCGTTTCCTCCCGGACTCTGCTCGCCTCTCTCCCCGCTGGTGGCTGCGGTTTTTCCCCCAGAAATCTCCCTGGATCCGCACAGTAAGTAGCCCAATTCCCCTTCACATAAACGCATCTCTATCCCACCACATTTCTCGTTTTCCTCGCTGTTTTTTTTCATTTTACATGATGAATAATACCCCCCTGTTATTTAAATCCGCGACAATTTCGACCTTTTTATTGTGTGAGTGGATCCTTAAATGAACATCCGCTGCCATAAAAGCCAATTAATCCCGTTGCATGTGTATGCAGAGAAAGGAGAAGGGTGGCGGTGGTGGTGGTGGGGGGTGATTGCGAAAAAGCTGCACAGAAAAATAGATTTTATTCACATCAGCTGGATAAATGCATCATAATAGGGGCTGTATATGCACACATGGGGTCGATTTCTTCGCCGTTATTCGCTGTGCATGTGTGATTTTGACGGTGCTGCATGCATCGCCGCGGGGCCTGCAGAGCTCCGACTCCCAGCCTGATGCGCAGGTTGTCCGGGGAGCAGCAGCCTCTCTCAGCCGGGTGACAGCGCCTCTCAGCCGGGCTTTAGTGCTGCAGATCCGAGGCCAGGCGTGCAGAGCTGACACCAGCAGCAAGGCGTGGCATTCATATAGCATTACATTACATTACCACATTACACAAGCCCAGGGGCGTGCTACCCTGCAGCTGCCTCACTACTCATTATATGTTTTTTTTATTTATTTTATGCTGTATATTTTATTTTTATTTTATCGTACCAATTAATTTTGTCTTATGTATTCCTTTATTTTTCCGAGAGGGATCATTATTTATTTTAGTTTGATCCGAGGTGGATTTCTTGTTCTCTGTTTAATTTGTAATGTGGGCCATTTTGTTAAAGCACTTTGGGCTGCACCTGCTGTATGGAAAGTGCTATATGAATAAAGCTTTATTGTTATTCACTTTAAAAAAAAGGCACAGTGTATTTAAATCTATGTATTAGATGTGGCTGCATCACTGTGGTGTTTCGTCTGCTCTAGTAAGAAGCATGCTCAGGGTTTTGCCCCAAGTCCCATTTAAAAGACATTTAAAAATTCAGCATAATCAGACATGCAGGCCTGCCATCTGTCTGTCTGCCTGCAGGTCAGCCTGTCTCACCATCTTGTCCCTCCCAGGGTAGGAAAAGAGATCAATATCACTGTACAGTTTTGGCTCTACATTTGAAATTTGGAGCCATTTACATACACAGTTACACATTTTTGCCGCCTTATTTGTGTTTAATGTGGCAAATACCCTTTAGTTTGGCCACGATTATTCCAGACACTGTCTAGTGCTTTACTGCCTCACTGTCTGACTTCCAAGTAAACCTTAGTGGGAATCTTTATGGTTTATTGCACTTATTGTTCGTCGCTTTGGATAAAAGCGTCAGCTAAATGCAATGTAATGTATTGTGAACCTGAAGAAGCCATGACCTTCTGCTGGTACAACTGGCGGTCTACTTAAAAATATGAAATTCCAAATTATAGGTAGTAATATTGTGTTCAACCGATGCCACACTTAACATTAGTGTTAATTGAATCACTATTTTATATAAGTAAACGTCTTGAAAATAGACATGTTTCAGTGCAAAGTTCAACTCTAAAGCTGGTTGTGGTGGTTAGATGTTGGCTTGGTGGGTTCTGTGGTTTTATGGCTATGGCTTGATGGTTGCTCTATTTATTGCCATGGCAGCTTTTGTCAAAACATATATTCCTAAATGTTCTTACGTAGGAATGATGCAGATTACATTGTCAGTGTTAATGCACAATATTTTAATCATGCACAGGGCCATGTATGAAAATATGTTCCTATAAACTATGACTATAGATGCAAGGATTAATGATCCAACCCTCGAAGTGGATTTATATTTCTGTGCCATGGAGTACAGCAGTTCAGTCGTAGATCCTGAGTATAAGATGAATAAGTAGATATTTTTTATCCACTGACAGCTCAAGTGTGCCAGGAATTCCTGTTTAAAGATTGATTGGCTAATCTATTTGTGTTGGCTGTGGTGTTGGCCTGCCTTTTGGCAAAAGGTTGAGCCAGCATCGACTCTTCTATCTGGGTCTCATTGCAATGAATGAGGATGCTGTCCTTAAGATACACCTTTATTGTGAAATTCCCATAGCGTGTCTGCACCACCGTTTCCTTTCAAGCCCAGTGATGCATTTTTTTAATCATCTTTTAGTTGCCTTTTTGTCAATTAATGTAAGGGACACTGATTGTGTTGCATGCACAGACGATAACCTCTCAAATCGATGAAAGGCTTTGCAATTGAAATCATATCATTGCAGTATTTGTGATATTAGGACATGTGGTGCACCCATAAATGCATCCCTATTTGCTGGTGCTGGGGATTCTCCTCAGTAACCAGGCTCATCAGAGATGTAGTTTAATCATTCGGACAGAATTGAGACGTCCAATCTCTAGTGCAGCAGAGTGGAGCAGGATGCAGCGTCTCCCTGTACTGCTGAGGGTTAACTGGAGTATAAAAATCCTTACTGCCCTACTTCAACTAAAGGCTGCTCTTCCTGCCAGCCTGAGCTTCACATCACAGACTGCAGGCTCCATGTTTCTGATTCGCTGTCCTTCACTGTCGGTTAGAGCTCATCTCATGCTGTCTCTGCACCCAATGATGCAGTTCTTAGTTCAGCTGTGTGACTGTCTTTGGATTTCATCTTGATTGAGTTTTCATAGTTAGTGTTCTTTTATCCTATTGATGCCATTTGAGAAGGTGGTTATCATCAGCAGCTGTTAGCATCAAGTCTCTTTTTATATTGGAGCTTATATGCCTACTGTGATCGTGATGGCGGATGCTGATGTAAAACATTGTTTAATACCTGGTCGATACAGAAACTTAATTTTTAAGCCTCTATATTCCCATAACTGTTTTATTCTACAATATAACATCTATTGGATTATGCATACTACATTTCCTACGTACATTAGGAAGCAACATCTTATCTACACCTAATCTATACTGATCATATGAACTAATACTAATCTTTGCCCCAGGGTCCATCCCCACAACTCACCCCCTATATCCATCCTCATCCCTCATTATTATCATCAATGCTACACAAATCAAGAGTGTGAAAGACAGCGAAAGACCCGATAACAACATTATCAACCATTTCTAAAATCCCCTTTCTCGTTTGAATACCTCACAAAAACAGTTCTTTGTATTTTCAAACTCTCTGATATTTGTACTTTGTGTAAATATCGTCCTCCGTACATTCCACAAGTTCACATCAGTGTGCTGTTTTGCACAAACAGGAAATGATATAGGACTCCAACCTATTAACGTCAATCAAAACCGTTGGAATGTCACAGACGATTAAACTTCTCAGAGATATAAAATGTTTTTTAAGAAGTTTTCCTAAAGCTGTTTCACCATAATTTGTTTTTGCTTTAATATTTTGCAGCCGTAAGCAGCTCCCCCTTCTCCCTCTCATTTTGCATGTGGCAAAGGATTCAAACATGAAGAGTTCATTAAACGATTACTGATATTTTTGAGCGTAACGTTTTATGTGTCCAGCATGAAAACACCAGATGTCTCTGTTCAGGTCGTTCCCCCCCAACACAACTCAAGTAAAAAAACACTTACCACTGTTCATATCATCAAGTGTAATGCTAACATTGCCATGAAATGAATTAAGTACATTCATTTTTCCAAGAGGTTGATTTTAATCCATGGACTCTCCTATAGCACCAGTGACAACCAATGGGGGAATGTAGAATTCACATACTAAAGTAAAATACCCTCAACTTTGTACTTGAGTATTTCCCTTTTTTGCAACCTATTTGTGTCTTCTCTACATCTCAAAGGCTAATTTTGTAGTTTTTAAAGAGGCCCTATTATTCTTTTTGGGGTTCTCCTTTTTGTGTGGCATGTAAATGGTCTGCAAAAGGCTCAAATCCCTGTGTTCCCTCCAGAGGGAGTTTCTCTCCCACACACTCCATTGTTTAGTTCCTGAACTTAGTGACGTCATTATGTAAACCTTGCACTTCTATTGGCTAGCGCTCCAACACATTGTACGTGATAGCTAAGAGGCGGGACAATCTCTTAGCGGGTGACCAATCACAACAGAGCCGGCCAGCTAACCAATCAGAGCAGACTGGGCTCTGGTTTCAGACAGAGGGTGAAAAGAGGTGCTGCAGCACAGACAGTATGAGAAAAATAAAGAGCTTTTTGAACATTAAAGCATGGAGACATGTCACAGTAGAGATACTACATACTGATATACACCTGAACATCAGCAGGAGAGGACTCTTTAAAGTAGAGACACTACATACTGATATACACCTGAACATCAGCAGGAGAGGACTCTTTAAAGTAGAGACACTACATACTGATATACACCTGAACATCAGCAGGAGAGGACTATACACCTGAACATCAGCAGGAGAGGACTCTTTAAAGTAGAGACACTACATACTGATATACACCTGAACATCAGCAGAGAGGACTCTTTAAAGTAGAGACACTACATACTGATACACACCTGAACATCAGCAGGAGAGGCTCTTTAAAGTAGAGACACTACATACTGATATACCTGAACATCATCAGAGAGGACTCTTTAAAGTAGAGATACTACATACTGATATACACCTGAACATCAGCAGGAGAGGACTCTTTAAAGTAGAGACACTACATACTGATACACCTGAACATCAGCAGGAGAGGACTCTTTAAAGTAGAGACACTACATACTGATACACACCTGAACATCAGCAGGAGAGGACTCTTTAAAGTAGAGACACTACATACTGATATACACCTGAACATCAGCAGGAGAGGACTCTTTAAAGTAGAGACACTACATACTGATATACACCTGAACATCAGCAGGAGAGGACTCTTTAAAGTAGAGATACTACATACTGATATACACCTGAACATCAGCAGGAGAGGACTCTTTAAAGTAGAGACCTTCATACTGATATGAACCTGAAAATGAGAATAATTGGGCCCCTTTAATTTACATTTGCCGTCAATTGAAAAAAAAAGAAAAAGGTTTTGGACTTTTCCGATAGACTGAAGGATACCGTGTTTCTTAGTGTGGTTGAGACAATCTTCTTCTTAAGCTTTTTAAAGTCTTTAAAAAGCCTCTTGGATCAGCTGAAAAATGCATCGTCACAAAGCTGAAAAAGCTGTTTTCTACTAAAACAAAAAAAAATGTGACTTCTTAAAGATATGTGGTTCTTGCACGACCAAGCTACAAACAAATGATCTTATAGACTATGATGACCTAGCTGATTAAACTAACCAACAGTTTTAAAGGAGTCAAACAGATCTACAGCAATACAATGCAACATAATGCAGCAGTAATATGAATCCGGCAACATTAGTGAAACCCTGACTTCAGTACATTTTACTGATAAATCTTGCATCCTTTACTAAAGTAAGGTATTTAAATATTAATTCGACCCTTGGTTACCACCCACAAAGCAATATATCTACTTTGCATCTGATATATACAGTATGGGGTCGAAGTAATATGGGTTGAATAACTTTGGATAACTCTCTGATCATAGTTCGTACAGTGTTCTAGCTTGAATAAGTTCATTAGAGTGTTGTGGGAATTGAACATCTGCATTTGCAGGCCTGCGGTGTGTTTGGTGGACATCTTCTGGCAGCTCTGCATTCCTCTTGTTAACATCACTCTTAATGGTCTGCTTACATCTGTATCAGCTGCTGTGGTGCAGTTTAGAATATCCTCAGTGGTGGCTATGAGAGGTCACATCAGGTCACCATCTGACATTGTTTCTTTCTTCATTTCTGCCTCTGTCTCACGCCAAGTGTATGAAAATCATCCCTGCTTTTCTCAGGATTCAGGAATTCCTTCTGGTCCCAGGGGTCAGACAGACAGACAGACAGACAGTCAGACAGACAGACAGAGAGACAGACAGAGAGACAGAGAGACAGACAGGAAGACCGAGTGTGAAGAAACAACAGAGCAGAGCAGAGGGACAATCCAGGCTTTTAGTTAAAGGAATCATATAATGCTTATTGAACATTTCATACTTTTCTACTAGAATATGTTTACATGCGTTAATGTTAAAAACACATATGTTTCTCAGTGTCTGAACCACTCAGTTTTTAGCGCCTGTTTCTTATTTAGTATGCTTTATTTGTTGTGAATGTTACTCGATCTTAACGTGTTGAATAAGGAATGTTTTGACACAATTCGTCCTTGGTGCATTCAAGAAAGCTCAGATATTCGAGATGTATTATTTTGCCCCTACAGACACATGTCTCTGAAGGACATAACATGTCAAATTTATCAAAGTGCAGATTGTCCCATTACGTTAAATTGGATTAAAAAACACAGCAACTAGCATACTTAATAGCATGGGTTCCACTTAGGTGATCATTGGGTGGTGCAAGTGGGGAACTTTGTCCTCCTTAAAACAACAAATATTTGGCAAATATGTTATATTAACAAACAAGGGAAGAACACAGTTAAGTAAACCAGCAGAGGGTTGACTACGCGAGCAAAGACTCAACAAGAAACAGAAAACAAAGTGCAAGCATTGCAGACTCCTGTGAAATAAAACAAGTCAATGTGGAGCTGAAGGACTCCATCTCTGGAGAAATGAAAGACTTCTGATTCCGAGCGGGATATTAAGGAATTCTAATCTAAGGATTAACAACAAGATGTGGAGGGGACAATTAGCACAAGAGTTCTTGGTGCATTTAAGAAAGCTCAGACATTTGAGATGTAACATTTGTTTTCCGTACAAAGACATCATGTTAATGCAAGAACATACCATCACTGTAAGTCAAGTGTATCATTTTCACATGTCCATTACCTTTTATTTGATTTTAAATGAGAACCCAAATGTAAACTTAATAGCGTATTCTGTATTCTATAAGAGTGTATTCTGCTGTAGTGGAGTGTAATGCAGCACTCTGTAGTGGTTTATAGTGCAGTGTGTTTTGCCTGTGTCAGTGCTGAACCTGCAAGAGACACTCACACATTAAACAGCATCAGGAGGAGCAGGAAACTGGAGATGGTGTGTGTGTGGGGGTGTGTGCCTTTTTAATAAGGTCAAAATCCAATCGAGAAAAACTGAAAGCCATTCTATGACAATAAGAGGTTAAACAAATTATATTAGGATCAACTAAAACATAATTCAGTGGAAGTAGTTAGGGTTTATTTGCACAATAATGATGTACAAAATAATGTAATTAACAAATTGGTAATCACTGTTTAAATACATTTGAGGACATTTTAAGGTCACAGCATTACATAAACAAAACATCCTTGTGTGTGTGTGTGTGTGTGTGTGTGTGTGTGTGTGTGTGTGTGTGTGTGTGGTGTGTGTGTGTGTGTGTGTGTGTGTGTGTGTGTGTGTGTGTGTGTGTGTGTGTGTGTGTGTGTGTTGTGTTGTGTGTGGTGTGTGGTGTGTGTGTGGGTGTGTGTGTGTGTGTGTGTGTGTGTGTGTGTGTGTGGGTTGTGTGTGTGTGTGGTGTGGTGTGTGTTGTGTGTGGTGTGTGTGTGTGTGTGTGTGTGTGTGTGTGTGTGTGTGTGTGTGTGTGTGTGTGTGTCATATTAAAGCTGATATGTGTTTTTGTGTGTGTGTGTGCTGATACAAAATAAATGTCTTTTTGGCTGTTTTGTTGTTGAAACAGGCGACTCGCAGCTGAATGCAATGACTCAGCCTGTGTGCGTGGGTG